CACAGATTGCTGTAGCCCGAACATTTGACTTCATTTCTGAAGACAACAATGTTAAGTTTGAATGATCATTTAGAAATTTTCGATTGAAGTTTTTTTTGAGATATGCTAACAGGTCATCAGGATATTATTTTAACAGTAATCATATTGACAACCACGCAATTTATGTATGATCAGTGGGTATACACTGCTTCAGAGTTAGTCCTAATCAAAATAAAAAAGAGAGGGTAATTAAAAAAAAAAAAAAAAAAAAAAACAACAAAAAACACCACACATCTTCTTCCTTGTTCGAGCTGATTCAGCCTGATACATTTTGCCTGCAACATCTGATTTGCATCAAGTGCCTTCTCTTTTAATATATCTCAGGTGCACAGAGTGGTTTTGCAGTTTTGCAGTAGGCTTTCAGGAAAGCAGAGCTACAGTGATTATACAGTTTCTTACATTTTTCAAACAGATTTTCTCCCTTGGTGAGATTGTTTTAAAATGTAACTTTAGTTCCATGGTATTAAAATATCTATAAATAATCTATAAATTGCATTGTAAAATCTTGTAATTGTTGACAACTTCTACTGAAATGGGAACCATTTAATACTAAAAGTTTAAACACGTTAGCCATAAGATTCTCTAATTAGCACACAGGATTTCAGTTAAAATGAACAACAACAACAAAAAAAATCCTGTAGAAGAGGCAAAGAAACTTTGGGTATGTAGTACAGTCTCCTGCCTTTTCCAAAGGCTGTAAACTACCAAACTCCCATCAAGTGAAATCCATTCTACCTATGCCTGTAGGTAATTGCATTGGCTTTCTCAACAATGCCTATGACAGAGGAACAGTAAATACCAAATATTTTTATTGTAGTAAGACCTCTGTTTCTGACATCTGAAGCAGAACAACACTAAATTAAAACACAGGGTAACTACTTAAAGACACACAAAATATTCTCTAGCAATAAAAGCCATACTAAAGAAATGAAAAGAGGATGTTTTCTGGAACTGTGTATTTCAATGTCACATGAATGGAAAAACACTTTATATCTCTCTAAAGTGCAGGATCATTTTTTCCACCTTGTCTTAAACTTTATAGGGTGTATACTAATGAGAATGTTGCACCCTCCTCTTTCACCTTTTGTCCCAGTAAGTGGCGGTAAACCCTTATGTATTAAGGTGAGGAAGGGTCAAGTGGAGGGACAGGGACCAGGACCAAAGGGAAGAAATATAAAGAGAGAAATAAGATTAATACATAGAGGGTCTCCTCAGACTGAAACAATGCTTTTGGAAAAAAGAAATACTATATATGTGCCCAGAGTTTTCATGTCAAAGAGTCTTAATTTCAATGAGATATCTTTTTTTTTTTTTTCTAAATTTCCTGTTTTAAATCAGATTATGCACAGTTCCAGTTTTCTAATTAAAACAACAACAACAACAAACGTACTGCTTATTTTTCTATGAAAAACAATGGAAAAATAAAAAAGGAAGCAAATTGAGTATTTTCATTAGTAAGGATTTGATATGTTTTTTCACTATTTAATCTACCTGTGACCCCAACCTGCAATTAATTTATTTAAGATGAGCCAATACACAGCTGACATTTTCAGTAAGAAGTCTATCCAACTCCTATTCATACAGACATTACTCAATCAAGGATGCTCTCATATTCAGCCAATTTCTTTCTGGGTCTTTGCTCCAGTGTCTGATTGAGAAATTAGTCTCAGAAAATGAGATCATTATTACTCACTGTACCTGCACACATCTAGGAACATCTGAGACAAGACAGACTGTTCAAATCCTTCTTCCTCAACAATTAATTCCTAAAAATAATTGAATGTTCTACTGCAGTGCAGAAATGCATTCTATTCTCCCCCATCATTTAAGAACAAGTCCTAAAATTTCACTCATCACAAAAACTAATAATTTTGTATTTTCCAAAGTGAAAATTATATCAGTTCATGTCATGTATTAAAAAAAAAAAAAAAAAAGCAAATCATGCATGGTGCAGTAAGTGATCAAAGTGATCAGTACCTTGCTACTGTCAAATCACTTCCACCTCAGACAAGCTGATGGTTTGGTAAGAAAGTGTAAAAGAACTATGGAATTAATCTTCCTGACCACATAACTACTGTACTGTTCATTTGAAGAATTTTGTCTTTTGAAGACTGATTAGGTAACTCACTTGAATATGTAAATACTCACCTGAATATGATCTCAAATCCTTGAAGAACACATTTTATTTCCATCTAAAGTACTATACCTTTTTATTTTCCACTTGAATCAAAGTTTCTTTTTCTTTTTTACTGCTATGATCACTATCTCAAAAAAGAAATTATAATCAGCCTCAAACCATTAAAGAGCAAAATAAAAAATTTGCTTGAGGATATTAATAGAGACATTCCTAAGTTACTGTACAAGCAAATTTGATGTATTTATTTGTAGCTCACACCATATGGAAAAATAATTTGCTATAAGCTATTTGTTTCCATTGTTACTATAGCCAACTGTCAGTCCAATCCTGCAAGTCTCTAACTTTATGCAAACATTACAATGACATCAGAATTCATAAAAGGTTCACAGATCAAAACACTAAAGCAACAACACAACAAATGGAGCAGTAAGAAGGGTTTTCCCCTCTCTCCTGTCTTAATAGCTCTCTTAAAATCAAAGTTCTATAGGGTGTATATCTGGCACAGCTTTTACTGTTATCCTCAAAACCTGTGTACGGAAAATTTTCCTTTTATAGACCTAGACTTTCCTATCTCAAAGGACAAAGCAGGTATGCTTTAATAACATTATCTCAATCCACTTGAAAAGCCCTCTTAATTCTTACTGAAACAATCTAATCTATTTGAGGCAAGATTTTGGTTTTATTTAGAATAGTAAAGCTTATCTAATTAAGTGTAATATTAGGTTGTTAACTAACATGCAGAAGCCAACTTTTAAGAGTCTACTGCACACATGTTAATTTATACTAACAGAAGCCTAAATCCCAGAACACTAGTTAGACCAATGTACTGCATAATGCCATCTTCCTGTGTATGCCTTCATTCCCAAGTGTCATATAGTGTCATATATACAACCTAATTCACTAGTAGCATGCTTACTATACTGAGGAGGAATGTACTAGTTATCCTCACTAAGAACCAGTGTTCAATGTCAAGACCAGCTTCAAATTTCACTATCAACAGGAAGATGGTTTTCCCTTTCCATTAGACCCTAAGTAGTTAAAATATTTGTTAGTATACAAAACAAAACAAAACAATTGCAGTATTATAATTTCTTTAAGAGGACTTGGAGTTGCACCCTTCTTGACTGCTACACTGCTCAGCCATGCTGCAGTTTGAAAGTTTCACCCTCAGCTTTCCTTAGAGATACCTTCCTTGAGTGAAATATAAGTCACTGAAAAGTTAGGGCTAATCTTCAGTATTGTCAAGTTCATTAATACAATGAAAAGAATGGGTACACTGTGTACAAAAATCAGTGTTGTGTTGGTTTCCAAAATACAGCCTAAAGGTCAAAGATTTCCCCAATGAATGGGCTAGTTGATTATTCCCAGGCTTGTTTTCAACCAGCATGATTGCAAGTCTAACCAAGGACTGTTTAAGCTTTAGCACCTGATTTTTGAATTAGAACAGAGGAAGGTTACCAACCCCTTCAAAATTTCAGAAGAAAATTTCTGTTAATAAAAATAAATTAAAAATCCCTCTTTGTCAGCAACAAAACACAATCCCACGTATATACCCCAACATAATATACTGACACACATTGGAATAGACAAATTACTCATGTCATATAACGTAAGCTACCTTCTTCCTGGCAAATTAGACTCAGAAGGCTAAATATATACTCTTTGTCTCTGTATACCAAATTATCCAGACACTTCATGCAAGAGGAAAGAAAACCAGCTTTTTTTTTTTTTTTTTCTTTTTCTTTTCTTTTCACTAGAGAGGTAAGGAGGAAAGAAAGGGAGAGAATGAGCAAGGCCTATGTCTCATCTATTTTTGTTTTGCACACTAGTCAGGACTTGCACTTTTTAATTTCATTTGATGACTGATAACCAATACACACAAACACAGAGATTTTTGAATACTGCAATGTAAATTGCTTCAAACACCAGATCACAGATTAAAATTCAGGAGCAAAAAGATGTAACATTTACTTGATGCTCTGTTTTTAAACCTTTAGTGAATAACTAAATTTATTAGTTATAATTTGTTTTTGTTGGAGAGAGTTCAGAAAAGGCTGTGAGATTTTTCTATGCGTCAGCTTAAAAATACTTACAACTATTTCTTGAATGTCAGCTTAAGAAATGTATAAAGAAAATTCAACATTAAGACCTCTAAACTTTGAGAGACATGCTCAGAACAGGAAATGATAGTTTGTTAATAAAGAAAGGTAAATCATTCTCTAGACTTCCAGTGGGAAACTTGGCAGGAAAAGGATTTTGACCTCAGTGGAAGGTAACTGCCACAAATGACAAATCAAGCAACTTTCTTCTTACAAGTGAAGCAAATGTTTGACATAAGGCTGGACCACATTCAGACCTATCGTTCCCTGTGGTCTATTCTTCTGCTTTTAACAAATAATTCTGCAAGGTTTTGCACCCACTATATCAATTTTCTTTCTTTTTTTTTTTTTTTTTTTTTTTTTGGATGATTACTTATTTCTTATCATAAGCACAAAAGCTCATCACTTATAGAATAGGTCAAGCTTTCAGTGCCTATTAGTCCTACTCTGGAATGAATTAATGCATTTTCCTGTTCCATTTTCCTTCTCTGATGTAGGAACAGCATATGTGACATTTGTGTAAAGGAAGTGAAAATCATGCATTATTTTCAGATGAAGCAGTAAACAAATAAATGTACACTTGGAGTACACTTCTATTTTGTTTTTCCAGATGATCAGATTAAAGTCACTGTGACTATATTATTTTGAAGTTTGCAATTTGAAGTACTGGTTTTCCCAACTCAGAACAATAAATGGGGGGAAAAAAAAAATGACAAGTAGCCCAGTTTAATTTCAAACGTTAATATATTTTCTATTTTATAGTGAACATATGCATCGTTCACCCCTTATTTGCAGCAACTATGACGTCCTCATAAAAAGGGGTGACATTTGTAAGATGCCTCTTAAAATAAATATTTCTTTTTATAAAATAATAAAACTTCAAATAAATATTCTTTACACTAAACAATATGTTGAAAAAAATTAGAAAATAAAGGCTGAATTTTACTGTAACTGTACAATATACATGAAGTCCAAAGGGAAATCAGAGTCTTGTAATAGGTTTCTGTAAGACAAAATACAATCTAAAAACATACTGATTGATTCACATTCTTCCGAATGTACAACATATTAGTATAATATTTTGTGACTGTGCCATGTCTTATGACACTAATTACTTTTTCACAGTTGAAAATATTATTGTATATACAAAAATATAGCACATTATCTCTGGCAGAAAACAATGAAAAAAGGGAGTCATTTGCTAATTTACAAATTTTTGCAAGTACTATTCACAAACAATAGAGTTGCCTAGGAGTGTCTGTGTTGCTTTAGCTTATGCAATATGTGGGTCACAATGTACTGTATCCCTTTTTTTTTTTTCTTTCCCTGTATCCCACTAGCTGGATTCTAGCAAGCATATCAGTTAAGATGGCACACAAAGAGAAAAGCATGTCACTGCAAACAGCAAAGTGTATCCCCAACCCTTCTACTACAGTGCCAAGACCATAGTTGCTTAGTTGGTTGCATATGTGTGTTAAAATAATCCTTATTATTTGACTATTTCCGATTAGTGATGCTATGTTGGCTTTTCAAAGTTCCTGGGGGGGACACTGGGAACTTTGCAGCAAACTGTGTTTGAGTGTTTACAGCGGCACCCAGGCCTATTTACCCGGTCGTAACAGCCCTGGCACAATTTAAGGCAACCCTTGGCTGGCAGGTAACACCACAAGCAAGGCAAAAAGAGGGACACCACACCCATGGCAGACCATCTAGTGCAGCAATGCGACTGACTGCAAGAGCAGGGGTTGTCAGCACAGTTGTCCTCATCATCATTAGAGCAGTGATAGAAGAGGCCCTTCACACAGCAAACACAAGTCCCGTAATCAACCACGTTCTGGGCTGAGCAAAGACACTGCTTGTCACAGATCCAACATGATGGGAGGGTCCTTGGATAAGTGCACTCCTTACACTTGCATTTCCCACAGTCCTCACACCTGTAGCTGTGTGTTCCCAAGTCTTCTTTGCTCAGTGGCTTCAGCTCACTTGACTTGAGCTCAGACTTGGGCTGCATTCGGATTATCCCGTCAGCCAGCGGCCCTGAAGATGATCCTAGAAGTCTTTGTTCGGAGGAATTACTGCTCGTACTTGTCCTCGTACTGCTCCGTGAACCTGTGCTGACTGTGCTGATGGAGCGGGACAGAGGTGCCCGAGGAGAAACGTGGGTTTGCATGTGCTGAATCCGGCTAAAATGACGATGTTCAGGCAAGCCATGGGGCCTTTCATTTTTGGGTTGGGTTGCTAGGCGAGGAGTGGACTTGACCCCAGGCCGTGGAGCCACTGTCGGTCCCTCTGTGTACTCATTTGTGTTTCGGATGGCTCTGATCTGGTCCAAGGACAAGACGTGAACCTGCTGTGCCAGGACATCCCTCAGATCGGGCTCCCCGTGTGGTCTCCCACTGTCACGTCGAGCCTGTAGCAAGACCTGCGACCCACTACCGTGCTGAGCTCTTGTCTCCATCAGTGCCCGGAAGCGTGCTCACTCCAGCAGGCTTAGAACACATCTGAAATCCTGGAGCAACAAAGAGAGGATTCACTAATTGCAACACATCTCATGCTTTCCAGCAGCCCTTCCGGCCTGCAGGATCCCACAGAACTGCACACATTCAAGCAATGAATCAGCCATTAAAAAAGGAGTCACATCTAGGATGGAGTGTAGCAGGGGTCAGCTGAATATGCCTCACTTGGCCTGTTTAGGCTACTCTTGAGGAGAGCTTAAAGAAGATTCTGTTCTAGGTCCATGTATTTTAACTCACAGCTCTAGAAAGTCTAGGCATTACACCTGATAACCAAGACTTCCCAGGCCATCTTCTGGTTAGACTGCAGGTTCTAATGTGGGTAAATTTCAGCTATGTGAAGTGACACTTCACATGATACTACCGAAAAACTTATTTTACATTAAATAATAATAATAATAAAAAAAAAAAGCCTGAAAGTATTTAGCAAGTGTAATGTGACCTGCTGATGACAGACATAATTCTCCAATTTTTTTTAAAACTGGATAATATTTTGGTAGGCTAGTCTCTTTACACATTAAACTTTACATGATGTAAATAGGAAATTTTAGTTTAATACTAATGGTCCCAAGAAAAACACTAAATAGCAATAAAATGTTTGAGGTTAGACATTAAATGAGTTAGTGCTACCAAAAACTTCAACAGCAGAAGTAAAAATATCTTTCTCCAATATTTTAGTGTGTGTCATACTTGTGTACACCACTACGATTGTTATTTTAAGGATCAATACTACAAAAGCAATGCTACCAGTTTTATTTTTTTTAAAACATGTAAAAAATTCCATAGACTACATTTCCAATTGTGAATATTACCAAGAGTGGCTTGTGGGACAGAAGCATGCACAATACAATAAAACAAAGCTAGCATCCAAGATTTGATTGCAATTATTACTTTAAAGGATCATTAACTACAAAGTTGAAATGCAAACTGAAGAATTTAAATGGAAAGCCAGTAAAAGACCCAGAATATGTGAACTTGTACATAACTAACTTCCACATTAAAATATGCACAAGTTTCAAGCACTGACCTCTAAATAGTTAGTATTTGTTTTGCCTTTATCATATTTTAAAGCTGTTCCCAAATCCAATTACCTATACAAAAATCCAGAACAATATTTTACAATTAAAACCCAAGCAGGAACCAGACTTCTTACAAGGACCACACAATGTCTTCAGTTATACCTAGAAAGAGCACCATAGTGTTACTCTGTACACATCAGTTACCAACAATAATACTATACCACAGTATAATAAAATATAGCCAAACACTTTAACAATGAATATCTCAAAACACTGTCTTTATTCTAACAGCAGCAGAAAACATTTAACATTTTAACTCCTGGCATCCTACCCTCAAGTATGTTTTCTTTCAAAAAAAAAAAAAAAGTTTTAAGAGTGACCTAACGCTTTAAATACTGCCAAATCCTGGTTTTGCAGGCAGTGTCATGGTGCCCCCCTCCCAAATAAAATAAAATAAAATAAAATGTCTTGCAAAGTTGTCTTGAAGCACTGTTTCTGTTTTCTTCAAAGTAAAGTTTTAAAGTATAAAATGCTTCAGCAAACTGGCTAAGTAGGCATTCCCTCGTCTAAAACTGTCTCGAGATAAAAAAGAATGTAAAATACGTTCCCCATCCTTGAGAGCAACCGGTAACCCTATCTGCCCTCCACTCTCTACCCCCCGCCCAGACTTTAGCCAGCAAAGCTCCTGCCTCTCCAGCAGTGACAACCCAGCGCAAAAGCGGAGCTGACCCTGACCTGCGAGGCGCTTAAAACGACCCCAGTCTCGGCGGCAGAGCCCCCCTCAGACGCACAGGTGGGAGCTGGAGGAGAAGCTCTGGCACTTTGCTGCCTCCATCTCCCTGCAGCAGGTGGGGCGCGGCAGCCCCCCGCCCGCCGAAGCTGCAGGCAAGGCAGCGGCCCCGTAAGTGCAGACAACCTGGAGATAAAGAGGAGACATCCCCTGGGCTGGGAGGTGGGAAGGGGCGGCCGCAGCCGACTTATCAGGAAAGTCAACCCCACGTTTCCTTTTAACTCTTCCCCCCCAAGCCCTCCCCCGAAAGATGCTAAAGAAGCCTTCCCCTGCCGGGTAATGCCCGGCGCCCTGCAGACGGTTTGAGACAACACCCCCAGGACAGCTGGGTAAAGGCAGATTACCCCCTCTCGCCTCGCCATAAGCATCCCTTCAGGTCCACAAAGCTCCTCTCGCTTTACCCATTCTCAGCGAGTTGTCTGAACTTCAGTTCCCCCCTCCCGCCCCTGCCCAGGAGGCATTTCTAGCTGAACATCAGTCCTAGCCGGGCGGTCTGCCTTCCTCTCTCTTTGATAGATCTGCTAACAGGTCAAGATGTAAAGCTCCAGCACGCTTATTTGCAAACACACGTATGCCTGAAAACTCCTCTGACCCACCACTTCTCGCCTTTCCATCCACCAAGCCCAGGGAAGCAGCGCTGGCCTTTTTGTGTGTGCGTGTGGGTGATAACACCATTCCCCACTTCCAAAAGCCAAAGTCCACTCTCGCAGAGCTCAAGTGCCATGATTGCTAACTTTTCCTAGCTGGGATTTTCAAAAGGGCGAGCGGGGGGCCGGGTTTTGTGCTCGCAAGTTTGGGGAACTGCGAAGCACAAGGGGCTTCTTGCTTGCTGTGGAAAAACCCCGTGTCTCGCTGGCTGGGAGAAGGAGAGCCTAAGGGGGAGAAGTCCTCTGGCCGTGAATTTCTGTTTTGTGTCCGGAGCCTGTGCAAGGCACCCCCACCCCCATCCCCACCGCACACACACCAACCACCTCCTCTTCTTTCAAAGTGCTTTGAAACCCCCATTAAGGGCCGAGTGTGTGATCGGACTATGGATTAGGGCAAAAGGGACTTTACCATCGGGGTGGGGCAAACTGACACACAAATAACTTGCAGAAAACACCAGCAGGTTTTTTTTTTTTTTTTTGTATGAGGGCTGCTGCACAGTAAACCCACCAAAAGGTTAAAAAAAAATAAAAAATAATAGAAGCTTCCCTACTCCTCCACATATGCACTCTGCACACTTTAACGTGGGGGGAGAAGTTTCCCCGTCTTCTGGATCGAATTGATTTCATCACACGAGAAATATACATGTACACACACACACACACATATTTATCCCAGGCGTGCACTCACTTCCGAATTGCACGGATCTCCCAACGCCACGACAAGACGGGCGTAAATCACGCACTGGAAGGCGGGGTGCTCGCTCTCCCTCGGGCCGGGGGGCACAAGCAGCCCCTGCCCTCGCCACCCCCGCCGCGCCCTCCCTTCACCCCTCGGGGGCTCGTCGGAAGCCCCCACGCGTGCCCGGCGGGGCTGGGGCGCTCAGGACCGCCCGTGCCCTGCTGCTCGCAGCAGGGAGATCGCGTCGCAGCCCCCCGCCTCCCCTTGCAGACCCCGCTGCCACTGCCTGCGACCCCCGCGCAGTCCCGCGGCCCCCGCGCAGCTTTCCGCCCCCCGCGGCACCCCAGCGGGGCGCAAACGCGGCTCAGCCCGCAAAACCCCAGCGGAGCTCCCCCCCCCGAGAGAAACCGCTCCGAAATCCCACCTCCAGCTCCTCTCTGGGAAAGGAAGGAGAGGGGAAGGGGGGAGAGGGAGAACCTGTGCGAATGGAAAAGGGATCGGCCTCAAACATTTCCACGAGTTTTCTTGGAGCAACCAAGGGGGGGGGGGGGGGGGTTACTGAAAAGCTTGTTTTGCAAAGAAGGAAAAGGCTCTCACCGTGATCGCGGCGCTGCACCAAACCCCTCTCTCTCTTGTATTTTCTTCTTCCTGCGGTTTGCAAATAAATCCAGCCCTAAAGCAAAAAAAAATTCTTTTCCAAACTCTGCTTTAGTCCAACTTGCAAATTAGAGTAAGAATGATCACCACGTAAAAAGTCCAGAGCAAAGTTAGGTCCCTATCCCCAGATCGATTATAAATACGTGTGTGCGCGTATATACTATAATAATAATAAAAACACCTCTCCGGATCTGGATGGGTTTTCTTTGCTCCTAAAAACAAATCACTCTCACATACACTTTCCTTTTTTCGTCAATGAACAGGAGGCCGAATCGCCAATACCAAGTCACTTTTTTGTTGTTGTTGCAAATGATCGAGAGGAAGGGGAAAGCCAAAGAAAACAAAATGAAGTGGATCTAAAATAAAATCCCAAAGCTTTCTTCCACTGAGCTCCTCCAAAAAAGCAACTTGTGCAATGTAGCCGTTCTGCTGAGAGGCTGCTCGCTGCAAGCTCCTCTACCCTCTCTCCCTCTAGCTTTCTCGCTCCCTCTGCGAGCGTGTGTTGCAGGCAGCGCTGTGGTTTGCAATCGGGGGGGTGTTTTGGGAGCGCAGCGGATTTGTGGTGGTGGTTGTTGTTGTGTGTTTGGAGGAGGTGGAGGAGGAGGAGGAGGAGGAAGATTTGAGATCTGAGCTGTAGGGGCTCGGCGTTTTTCTGCTCGCTCGCTCTCCCCCTCTCTCTCTTTTTCTTTCCGGAGGAGGTAGGGTGATCTCTCTGCAAAAGCAGCAGTAAATGGCGTCATGTGGATCTGAGGAGGAACAGAGCAGTTGTTGTCCCAGAGGATATATCGCATCCGGTCCCAGCTCATTGGCTCTGCGGGGCTACATTCACTGGCGCTCCCAGCGCCCTGCCAGCACTCCGAGCTGTGGGAGGCATTCAAAAGGGCAGCGCTGCCTCCGCCACCAGCACCGCTGCCACCAGCGCCCCGGCCCCGGCCTGGGGAGCCCCGCAGTCCCGCTCCCGGGGCCCCGCTGCTGCGGCCGCGCCGCCGCCCGGCTCCACCGGAGGCTGCTCCGTGCACGCTCGCACGGCGCTCGGGGCTGCTTTTGTGCTCGCGTGTGTTTATTCAGAGGCAGGCAGCGCTCGCTTTACAGGGCGGCCCAGGGGAGCTGACTTCTCCCGGGCAAGGAGACCCGTTCCCAGGTGCTTCCCTTCCCCCACTCCTGCCCCCCCCCCCCCCCCACACACACTCACTCAGTGGAATAAAACTTTAACTTTCTGTTTCCCCCCCCCCCCCCCACAACACCACCCCTTCCTTTTCAGCAACAAGCCCCTGGCCAAGCCGGGGAGGAGGAAGAAGGGCTGCATATTCCTCGGGGCGTTGTGCCGCGGCTGAAAACGCAGGGGTGCGGAGCGGGGCCCCGGGCTCCGCAAGAGTGGGGGTGGTCGGGGGGGGGGGGGGAAAGCAGCAAATCCCCCGCAGGGTTTGCGGCGGGGGCCCGGGCCAGGCTGCTGACAGCGAGCCGCGGTGCTTTCCGTGCCCCGGGCGACGGGGGAGGGGATAGGATTAATTTTTATTTTATTTTATTTTATTTTATTTTATTTTATTTTATTTTATTTTATTTTATTTTATTTTATTTTATTTTATTTTATTTTATTTTATTTTATATTTTTATTTTATTTGTTTTTCTTTATTTCATTTCATTTTACTTTGTTTCCTTTTACTTTACTTGTTTAGGTTGCTTTTTTTAAAAAAGAAAAAAATAAAACTTGGTTGCTGTTGTTCTAGTTAATGCCCTTTCGCCTGTGGGAGCAGCTCCCAAACGTGACTGTTCATCTTCTGAGCGTCCCCTAACACGGTGCCCTTTGGGCGAGCTTCAGTCACCAACTGTCGCAGGGCCCGGGCATCTTGCTCCTACATGTATCTTTAAGCGCGCAAAGCAGTGTATCCACGTAGGCATGCACAGAGTGCTAATATGCCCGTATCACGTGTGGCCCTGCTTAAAATATACACGGCGTGCAGAGCAGTAATGCATTGCATTATTTACATGAGCTACTCTCGGTGCAAAAAAAATCCAACAGCCCTTTTTAAAATACTGGAGGCAATTTGCAGGCACTTCCTCTTCTACACCTGCTAGTCACCACTTTTTGAATGAGGTGGTCGTTATTAATAAACATAGAAGAAGAAGAAAAAAAAAAAAGAGCAGTATAATACACTGACGGCCTTCAGGTTTTCATAATTTTCTAGGTCGGTATCCATTCTTCCGCAGTAACACTGTGCAGCCACACGTTATTTTTCGTAGTCACTTCACGGGAGGATGCATCGGGTAGCACAGGTCCACATTCGTCCTCCCACGGGGACTTCACCAGCATATTCTGGGCACAATGCTGCTGCCCCGGCTCGGATGCTGCCCCCTTCCCGTCCCCACCCTCCTCGCCCCGGGGGAGACGCGGATGGAGCCCCTCTGCCGGAGCCCTGAGGAGCTCAGGGATCGCTTTTAGGGAGGGCTCCCCGCCAGAAGGAGTGCAGGGGTGCGCGGAAGGAGGACGGGGACAGACACACGGAGCCCCCCGTGGGAGCCCTAGGCCCTTAACGCTCTGCAGTGGGCGATCATCAGGATCCCCAGAGTTGGGGGTGTTGGGGGACGAGGTGTTGGGGGACATCGTTTGCAAAGCGAAGCGCAGAAGGAAGCTCCCTGCTTGGAGCCGCACTGCAGAGCGTGCCTGTGGATTCGCCGCGGGTGGACCCGCACATCCTCAGGGGAGCACTGCATGGTCAGGACTCTTGTTTCCTCGAGGAAATCCACGGGGTTCATCCGTGAAGGATGTGCACAGGTTAAAACACTAAACACTGGACAGACAGAAGGCACAATGTTAATTTCACTTTGCTGTGGAAAGAGAGAAAAATCACTTCCTCCCACATAGTAAAGCCAAAAATATGTAAAGAACTCTTTGTATGAGTCTGTTAGATTATTTCTCAGCATATAAATGGAGTACATAAACTGAAAAAATCATAATAACATTTTTTTTTTTTTTAAATGGGGCAGTCAGTGGTGCAATCAGCAATTTAAATGCCAGTTCTCAAGTACAGGTGTATACACTTAATATAGTGAGTAGTCCTAATAATGGATATGAAAACAGTGAAGCTGTTTGTATTCGTAGAGCCAGTCAAGTGTGCAAAATGGTGAAGTATCAATCTCATCGGAAAAAAAAAAAAAAAAAAAGAGAGAGAGAGAGAGAACATAAAAAGTAAAAGCATACATACAGCATCCTACTATTGCTTAGTTTGAAAGAGAAGCACCAAACCTGCAAAGATTTGTGCACCAGATTATCTACTTAGCTTGCATACAGATAATCAATAACAATGTACAGGTATGAAAAATTAAGCATACATACATATATATATATATATATATATATATTTTCATATTGCGATCTCAAAGCTGAATTCACAGACCTTCAATTTGACGATTTTTTGAGACCAGCTTTCACAGGATTACATACATCACTCACATTTCACGGTTCTTGTAATGGACAGTGGGTTAATGCATGTGACTATGTTTCCCCTAGTGGTTTGCTCTAACAACTGCAAGATCTTTTTAAGATCCTTTTTTTTTTTTTTTTTTTTTTTTTTTTTTTTTTTTTTTGCTTTTAGCCGAAGCAGACCTTGAATACATTCTCAGCACAGGAATGTAGCTGTTGTACATATATGTGTACATAGATACATATATATGTTTATGATTTCTTAGAATAGGAGCAATTCCAGTGACTTCAGGTGAAGGGTTGGGCTGAGGGAGGTCTATAATGTGAGATCTATCTGAAATAGTTGAAACTTTTCATCAACATCCTGAAATTGTCTCATAAGATTTTACTTTATTTAATTTTCTGACCCAAGACCCAACAACAGTTTGTATTCCCTCTTTCTGTAGAGGAAATGGGAGTTCATTCATAAGTAAGGAACTGATTCTAACAAGGGAATAAATGTGAAGTGAATCTGCTGACTGCCAGAACTTTTTGTGCATTAGCTCATGAGTTAATGCACTGATAGAAGGATATTGATTCTGCACATCCTGGAAGGACTAAGTTTGGCTACATGCTGCTTCTAATGCCCTGCATTTCTTTAGAAACTTAAAACTTTAATTGATTGCCTTTCATGTCTGTAACTTTTTATTAAAAAAAAAAAAAAAAAGGTAATGCACATAAGAGAGTTACAGAATTTTTTATAGCAGTTTGTGATTAGCTGCAAAGCTTTTTGCCTACTGATAGTTCACTAAGATTCTCAGGGCAGACCAGGACACTTACATGTAGTGTACAGAAAAACAGAGAAGTCTTTATGGTGAATGGATGAATTTTTTTTTAATGGAGAA